ACTGTACAGGCTGGTTCGAAAGTCCTCAAAGCGAAGCGTAGGTGCTTTGGGTTGATGGATATATGGTTTTGAGGTAAATGGCTAGTAAATGCTAACCGACGTGGCTGAAACTTTTGGCGGCTCAGGACTCAAGGTTAAGCCACGCAAAGGTGATCAACTAATGTGACAGGAGACGAAAACATTCTCTCACTTTCGGGTTACCGAAATCGCTAAAACATTCATATTTCTATTTGGCTACCAAGGCGGAAATATATGAGAAATTCAAAGCGGTACTGGCGACTGCTTATGGCAATCGGCACCTGAAAAAGCGTTGTAAATGGATAGTTCTGTCTTTTGTTATTCTCGACAGTCAAACAGCAAAAGTACAACCAGCTTAGCAAAAAAAACTACGTGCTTACTTTGACCCGATTGACTGCTTCCTGGGCCTGGTACATTCGCGAATTCCGTGTCGGTTGTCGTTCAGACAACAGCTGTGTACTGCCCAAATAGCGCGCATGAAACAGGACTCCGTTTATAAGAGAATCCGGAAAGTCTGGATGTCTCACAGAAACTGTGGGAAATTGCGACAAAAGGAAAAATCCGATAAATTATTGTAGGACCATTTTTATATTAACCATTGAACGAGAGACAGTAGTAATGAGTGAAACGGATCGTTCTTTTATAACAACAGACATCGGGTGCATTATTTTCATTTTTAGGTGTCAATGGAATGAGCGGATAAAGCCAGATTATCTTAGGGAACACCAGTTCCACTGTGGGATTACAGTCAAGCATACAAGCACTGTGGAAGTAAAGTGATTGTACCAGTTAAGACAAATTTATCTATGACCATTCTTCAAGAATGGCTCAGCTCGAAAGAATTAAATACATCCGTAAATCCATTAATAAGCAGCTGATCGTACATTGCGTTCCATTTTTATCCATACACAAACCTCGAGTATTGATACAAAGAACAGTTATTACCCTGTTCTCTATTAATTTGTGTTTATTCCTATCGTCACGGTGGTCTTTCAGTATATCGCTGGCACACGACCCGTAGGAAGCACGGGGACTGAAATACTGTTAGGACGCCCATGCACTGACCGAATGGGCAACCGAAATGATATGGGTAGTTTGAACCACTCCTCTGGGTTACCATAAGGTACCACATTATCGTGGTGTACTTTATTCCCACGAATCAAAAATAGGCAAAAGAAGACATAACTGATTAGCTGGAATTCCTTTGCCTTGTGAAGCCACTATGTCCACTTAAGAAGTGTAAAATTGAAAATTGCAGTTTTTAACCAGAGACTGAAACCTTGCCGTGGTGTGACTGTTCGTAGGCCTGTGCGACACTTGTAGTCTTTCATACCGGGTCGGTCAATGATTAGAGGTCTCACTAACGCGGGTCTCGTGGCCCTCCAAGTTATAGGTTGGAAAATTAAGTGCGATTTGTTTCTTAAAGATAGTGATGCATCTGCATCTCCCGCCAAACACTGAGGTGTTGCAGTCAACCTAATGTTTTGTTCAAGGACTCTAATCGTACCCCCGTCTAGGTGTGGGCAGCCAAACAGTGTTCTAGCCCACGTACAACCGTGATGACCACAATTAACAACAATGCCATGCCACATCGGTCGTTGCGTGGTACCATCAGCCGGGTCGCATGTCTTGCTGTACACAGCGAGGCGCGTTAGCGAACCGCCCCGTCACTCTCAACTAGCTTGCGGAAAGGAAAAATCTGATAAATTATTGTGGGGCCATTTTTGTATTAACCATCGAACGAGAACACTTGTAGTCTTTCATACCGGGTCGGTCAATGATTAGAGGTCTCACTAACGCGGGTCTCCTGGCCCTCCAAGTTATGGGTTAGAAAATTCAGTGCGATTTGTTTCTTTAAGATAGTGATGCATCTGCATCTCCCGCCAAACATTACGGTGTTGCAGTCAGCCGAATGTTTTGTTCGAGGACTCTAATCGTACCCCCGTCTAGGTCTGGACACCCAAGCAGTGTTCTAGCCCACGTACAACCGTGATGACCACGATTAACAATAATGCCATGTCGTTGCGTGGTACCATCAGCCGGGTCGCATGTCTTGCTGTACACAGCGAGGCGCGTTAGCGAACCGCCCCGTCACTCTCAACTAGCTTGCGGATACACACCTCTGGTGATCTAGAGGCCGCTGAAGCAGGATATGCAGGGGTTAGTATCGTCATAAGTTGCCGGGTGGAAGGACCTTGCTTGACTGGATACCCGTTGATAGTCTCCTCAGTGCGGTCCGTTAGGCCACTTCCGTGAAGGGGTCACAGATGGAGGAAGTTTCTCTGTGGCTGGGAGTTTCTCCGTGGCATGGCACTAACAGGTTCAAGTATTGGCAACCAGACAGAAAATTGGCACTGCTTGAATCTCGGACAGATGTTACCGCGGGTCCCGAACATAATTTGGCCCGACGATTTATTAGAAGTCAAGTGGAAGTGAGCGTGCACGCCGACCGTGAAGCCTGGTGGACACAGAAGGCTAAGGAAATGGGAGACCCAGAAAGGTGGGAATGCCTGAAGATTGTGTCACTTGATCCGCAAGACTAGTAGCCGAGAACCGCTTGCAAGCGGAACCATCTAGGGTCAAAGTGGCACGACCGTGTTAAATAAATGATAACGATTCTATCGCTGGGCCACTGACCAACAAATCCCGTGGCCACCCTCTGCCAATCGTTTGGGTCAAATAACTGAAGTACAGTAAACCTCGAACCCCTGCTTCGGAGATTTGTGACTACATATGTTCCTTCAAGCGCTACCGAACTCTTGGCCCGAAAAACCCACTCGTATTCCTTGGAGATGGGGGTAATATCCTCAGTCATCAATTGCCTGATCTGGTTGCCTGTACTTGGGAAAAGGGGATTGTTTCCTACACCGGGAGAGAATTGGCAGTAGTGCCAATTAAAAAGACGCAAGTGGTGGGTGCCGCAATCACGGTGGGTTAGCTTGACCCCAGTCGTAACTAGACTCTAGACGTCACCTGTCCTTCGTCGCCTTGTGGTGGCTCGTGAAACAGATTCGGGAGCAGCAAGCGGGATTCCGTGCTGGTGGGGGGTTGCGTTGACCAAATCTTCACACTCCATCACGTACTAAAACAAAGCCATATGTATAAACAATCCACAATTTTAGCAGTCCTGAAACTAAAATAAAGCCATATGTATAAACGATCCACAATTTTAGCAATCCTGGATTCTCAAGGCGCATTGAACTCGATCCACTTGACACGCTTACCCATTAACAAATACTTCGGAAGTTTGTGAAAATAATAACTTGCGTACTCAGACTTCAAGGCGAGTGAGATCATACAGAGAGCTCTAAAAACTTCCGTACACAAACAAAATGTAAAGTCATGCTTCTGAAAATGAAACAATTGAACACGCCACTCGCAACCCCAGAAGAGGCGCTCGAAGTTGTAGTGTTTGAAGTACCTTGGAAGCACTATTAGTTCCGACTGTAATGAATAGGGCGAGTGAGATCATACAGAGAGCTGTCTAAAAGCTTCCGTACACAAACAAAATGTAAGGTCATGTCTCTGAACATGAAATAACTGTCACGCCAATCGCAACCCCAGAAGGGGGCTCGAAGTTGTAAAGTGTTTGACGTACCTTGGAAGCACTATTAGTTCCGACTGTAATGTAACAGATGAAGTTGAGGCAGGGCTTGGGGCGCGTTTTCTAATTTTAGACACTTATGGTGTCAAAAGGTCATATATCTGAATCGTGAGGGGAGTGGGAATCAGGCTACATTGCAGGCTGTTTAATTAAATAGTGTGCGCCTCATCTTCTAGGATAGGGACCACGCAACCCCCACCGCGCCCCGTTCGAGACCCCGCAACCTATGGCTGCCTATCGATACCAATAGCATTCTTTTTGTTAGTTTCTATCTAGATTGCTTGAATGAGTGTCTGGAGGTGTACGCGCCCCGTGACCCCGCAACCTATGGCTGCCTATCGATACCAATAGCATTCTTTTTGTTAGTTTCTATCTAGATTGCTTGAATGAGTGTGTGTCGGTGTAGGCATCCCGAACTGATTGTAGTAAGCTAGCTTTAAATCCCTTCCCCATCCACCTTCATTCTTTTTTCACAATAAGGCCTTGAAATAAAATGTGGTTGTAGGGCAGCAAAGCGTCAGTGCTGAACATTGATGTTATGCTGTCGGTGCCGATGATTATGCGGTTCTTAACGGACGTGCAAAATTGATCTGAAGTGGGTGATTGGGAATTCATGGAACCACTGTAGC